TCTTATTAAACCCAAATTAAATTGTAGGCGAGAACATTATGGTGAAATCCATGTCAATTTTATTTATAATTACTGTGGGTGCATACATATATATGTTTACACAGGCAAGCTATTGATTATATCATTTTGGCACACATTTGTCTGGTTCAGTCTACAGTTCAGAATGTGTATTACATGCATGCTCTCACACTTAGATAAACTACTGATAATTAAATAGTTCAGATGCTGTGGTTATGGGCTCCGTTATTTAAAAACCCCCAACATTTTGGTGGCATTCTTTTAAAATAGAAAAGTATCACCTCACTTGCACCTTCCAATTTCAGTCAACAATGGGTAGAAATCCACCCTATTAAAATTCTCATATTCCTTCTCCTAGTGCCTCCTTTCTTTGCGTTTTTGTATAATGACGAAGAATAAATAAGAACCTGTTTGCCTAGATGTGAAATAACTTTTTTTCTTATCGTTGCTACACATATAAATAAAGAAGAACTTGCAGTGATTTTTGTCTAAGTACAGCTAGTTTTGCAGTTGTATAACCAATATAAATTAAATATTCTTAATTATTTCAGCTCTGGTTAGAAAGGATACAAGACAAAGGAGAGATTGATGCAGTGTGCCTCACAATGGCTCTACTGATTTCTCCACTAGCCCTTCCTCTGCACATGGTCAATTAGAATTGAAAATCCTGTGCTGATTTCATTCGCTGGAATTTTTAAGCAGGTCAGGAAGAAAGATGTTATTGAAAGGAAAAGTCTCATCTAAATAAGAAAAGAACACGTGGCCATCTGGTCTAACTATACCATACTAAAAATCATTGCGACTCAGCCATAGTCTTGGTCTTTGCAACAGTTTGCCAAAATATCAAACAGAAACCTGTTTACTTTAAAATACTCTGTTTTTATCTGTAAATATGCAATGCACATTTCATTTCCTATCTGTGAGGCATGAGCTCATTTGACCCCATTACCTTACTGAGCTTGCCTGCATTTCTGGCAAGTAAAGTTTCAGTCTATCTCAGGTTACTTTTGCTTATAAGGGTGTCATGGAGCAACCTATCTTGGAAAAGTTTTAAGTGTTATGTTATCCTGGGGAGTTTCTTCTTGTATCTGATGTTTGCAGTTATACTTAAAGGAGGAAGGATTCAAGCAGAGGCAATGTATTTTATTTTTTTTTATTTTTATTTTTTTTTCCTGAAACCTCATGAAAATTTGGAGTCTCTACTCACTGTACTGTGGTGTTTACACAGCCAATTGCAGACCACAGGCTAACAGGCCATGTGGGACAGATATCAAACTCTTCATTTTGTATGGACTAGAGTAAAAAATATGCATGAATATTTTCACGACTGCTTTGTTTTAACATCAGCAACCATTTAGGAGTATGAAGAACGAGTTAGCCAAACACACAGGCCAAAACTTTCAAATATGAATACCCAGACTCCTTGAGGACACAAATTAGTCTTCTAGATCCATATTTAGGTGCCTAAGTAAAGGTGCCAGAATCTGTAACTCCCACTGGTCTCATAGGACTCGCTGAACACTCAGTGGTCTTGTACGTTGGGTCACTTTATTTAGGCTCTTAAATTTACACCCCTATATCCATGCTTAGGTACCCAGGTTTACAAATCTTGGCTTTTTCTCTTGAGTTGCAAAAACATATTTCTCAAACTGAACAGACACTACATAAATGTAAATTTGGTAATTGAAAAAAATCACTTCCGTTTCAACTTGCCCATAATGCTGTACATTTGCAGATGTATGTAGCATTTTTGGCATTATGAAATGAACAAAAAAAAAGCTTGAATGTGAAATATAAACTAAAGAGTTTATTTTTTAGTGACAATACCAGAAAGAGATTAGCACACGCGTACTGGGGCAACTGAAGGAAATGCAAAGTGTTTGTGTGTGTGTGCACGCACACATACCTCACATATTCATCAGTGTATTGAATTAGTTATTGTTTTGACTATCAAATAAGATGTGCTTAATTGTTCTTCCAGGAAAATGTTATATACATTTTTAAATCACATAAATCTGAATTCCAATACATCCTTCAATTTCGTTGTCTTATTTTTTTTTTTAAATATGTTTTCTGGAAATCTTTACTTCTGTTGGGGATTTTTGTATGTAGCTGTTAGTTATTTCCAATTTAGTAACTCTATGTGTTTTCTCTACTAAAACGTTCTACTAAATACCTTAACAAACTGCTTAGCTTACAAAACTCAATCTATTGGTATGTATAGTGGGTTCCATTTTGTGGCTAATTTATGGGGTTGGGTGAATGAATGAGTATAAAAGTTTGTAACATTAAAGGAACACCGTAAGAAGTCTTTTTTTTTTTTCTTTCTAGATGTTACTTGATATTTTGAGGAAAACATTTCTGTGAACCTTGTTAGGGTGTATATTGAAAACGGCATACCATGTTCGTGTGTTTTAAGTGCTGTTTGCAGAAACCACTTAAAATCTCATTTGTGCACCTCCCTCCCATCACTGCTGTCAGGATACAATGAAATACATTGCAGTTTAAGAAAGTTAAATTGCTAATCCATTTATTTAAAATTAAATGGAAAAAAGATTTAAAACAAAATAAGATTCCTTCTTTCTTCTGGCTGTCTGTACTAACCTCACCCATGTCCCCACACCAAGCTAATGCACGTAACTATTTTGGTGAGTGTCATTCAAAAGAAACTTTCTGAAAGAGATGACACAGCCAATCAGTGCTTCTCCTGAGCTATGCAGTAACTGCATAACCACTGGAAGGTCAGTGCTTGCAAGACTAACTACCTCAAAAAAAACCCTCAATTTGGACATCATCTACCTAGTGTTGGAAGGTGCCCAAAATTAGGTCTCTGCATAACATCGATGCATGTGTATGCACACATGTATATTTTTATAGGAAACTATATACATGTGTATAGTGTCTCTACTGAAGGGTATGTTACTAATGTGTACAATGTATGCAACACATGCATGTAACATACTAGTACATTGTTTGTAGACCAAATAAAATTTAACGCAATATACTGGAGCAATAATGCATGCATATAGATGTATCATAAAGGAGTATGTGTGCATTATGTGTTATTTTAGAGTCATGCTAAATTTAAAAATGAGCCTGACCACAGTAAGGTAAAGAGAAGCTGTTTTGTCTTTAATCTTTATGCAGTATGGGTAAGACTTCCACGCCTGATCTACACATAGCAGAGGAATCGGCTAGCCATGCACTGCATGCAGGCTCCTTGATTGTAGAGGGGGGGGGGAATCTGGCTGGAATCCAGACAGGCTAGCGTAGCGCTCTGTTGATCATTATGTCTAGCCTTCAGGTGTCTCAGCTCACCGTGGGCGGCGGTTGGGGGAGGTGTAGATAACAGGAGGGCAGACAAAGAAAAAGAAATGGTGTATTTTAAAAAATCATGTACAAGATTTCACGTCAAGTTCTTCTCTTAAAATCTATATTTTTGGGTTCCTTTTACCATCATACAAGCAGGCAAGCGTCTACCCAGGAAGATTTATTTAAGCCATAATTAGCAGAGTCTGAAGTCTTTCAACAATTTTTCTTTATTAGAGTTAATATTCCTTTGGAAACAAAAGTCTGATCATCTTTCACTTGGGAACTGTATTCACTTCATGCTTTATTAGAGGCTCAGTCTAGCTGAGTCTGCATCAGGTTTCCATTGTCTTTTCTTCTCTCCCTTTTTCCCCCCCCACCCTTTCTGATTGTTTTTTCAGGGTGTAACTTTTTTTTAATAGAAGATTTATCAGATGAGTCTAGTCAAATAGGATCCTATGAGGGTTATTTTTATTTGAATACAAAATGATAAATTGGTGTGTACCACATTATCCATTGGGATTCAATTTCTTTTCTAAGTGTGTGTGTGGGGGGGGAGAGCCATGCTTTGTCTGTTGCTTCTGTTTGAGAACTCTCGTAAATCTTGCACAGAAAGCAACTTCAATCTAACCCAGTCTTCTGGTGAGCAAAGATCTGGGAGGCAAATGAAAAAGCATTGTTATGAGTGTCTTATTATTTTCCCACCCTCACTCCCCCTTCTGATGTTTTTCTGTATAGAGCCCCACACCCCTACCCAACCCATCAGGAATTTGAGTAAATTCTTTCTACATGGAAGGCAGGATCCAGAGATATTTAAAGCAGCCTGCCCCAGCCTCTCTTCACATTCAACAATTCCAGATTAAAATATTACTTCTTTTTTTTAAATGCTGCCATAAACCCTCCCCTCCCCACCCTGCACCAAGAACACTGAACGGGGTGGGATGGGAATCTTCCTTAACTTCATTGTTCAAGATGTAAGAACTGTTCGCCCCAAAGTGTCTCCACTGTCTTTCATAGCTAATTATAATAACTGTCAGATGTCTGGAAAGTCTGGACTGTCCTTGCTAGCATAGTTAGTTTGCCTTTTTTCTTCCCTCCTTTGGGACAAATTGAACCTGACCAGATGCGAGCGCAAATAAAAGTGAACAGCTTACGCGCGCGTGCGTGCGTGTGTGTGTGTGTCTGTGTGTGTGTAGGGGTGGGGGGGGGTTGCCTTCATTTTTCTTTATGAACAAAGCAGCATGCTGGCTATGTTAGGAAGCAGTGTGGCAGGAGATTCTCATGCAGACACTGCCCTAAGGGATAAG